CAGGGAAGAACCAGGGCAGCAAGGTGACCAAGAAGGTAAAGAAGAAAAAGGAGAAAGAGAAAGAAAAAGAGGAGTCATCGTCGGACAGGGAGAAGACGAAGCTCAAGAAGAAAGCCACGAAGGGCAAGGTGACGAAGAAGAAGAGCCCGCTGAAGTCGGAGCCGTCTCCTCCAGACTCGGCCCGGTCGGCCAGCCCCCGAGAGCTGACCGTGATGTCGGAGTCCAGCCCAGAGAGCCGGGAAGACCTGGAGAGCGAGGAGAGCAACAGTGAGCCCAGACAGGAGAGACCCTGCAGCGAGGAGAGTGCGCCCGCCTCTTCACCCAGGAAGAGAGAGAAGCGGAGCCCCACCAAGAAGCCGGCGAGGAAGCTCTCCCCAGCCAAGAAGGTCACCAAGAAGAACTCGCCTCCGACATCAAACCCCAATCTCAGCTGAGGCCAGGGTGACCGAGGTGAAGAATAAAGTCACTCGAGCCTGTAAAAAAAAAAAAAAGATCAAAGATATTTTGACTGATAATCAAACAAAGGAGAACATTTTCCCAATTCTATGGCTGCTATAAAAAAACAGGAATAGTGCTATTAATCTCTGATAAAATAGACTTCCAGATATATAAGAGACAAGAGAGGATACTACATAATGATTATAGAAAAAATAGAAAAGGAAGATATAACTGTACTATAAATATTTGATCCCAATGAAAGACCCTCAAAATATATTAATCAAGCCCTTACAGAGTTGAAGACAGAATAAGATGGTTTGGCAATAATAGTTGGAGCCTTCAATACATGACTCTCAAGGAAAGACAGATGATTGGGGAATAAACTCAATAAAGAAAGAAAAGAGTTAAACACACAGCTGGTTCAATATTCATTTTAGTTCACGCCTTTCCACTTGGATTCACTCAATCTCACCCTCTATTATGGCAGGCTTGCTGCTCAGGTATTCCAGGCAACTAATGCCACTATCCTCCATGGAATTAGGTTAATTCTTGGGGAACAAGTTATCAGCTCACCTTTTCCCTTCTTCAGATACACAAACGGAAGCCTTCCTGTGTTGGGTTGAGGCAATCAAGAATCAGCTGGTTTTTCAGGGTTTCTTGCATGAACTTCCTCCCTGTGAATCGTTCGCTTGTGTCTGGTTCAGACTTCTATTCTACTGGGCAAGTTCAGAACTCAGGCTTTCTTGTTTTCTACTTAATTTTTTTTTTTTGCTCAAAGAGAGGGAATACAGAGATGCAGCCATGAATTTTCTCTCTCTTTACTCATAGTAAAATTCACCTTTTGCTGGTTTATGCTTTTATCAATTTCAGCACATTTATAGGTAGGTAAGAGTGTTGATGGGATTTTTTGGGTTACTTGTTGGGCTGCTAACCACAAAGTCAGCAGTTCAAAACCAACAGCCACTTTTAGGGATAAAAATGGGATCTTCCGCTCGAGATTCATAGTCTCTGAAACACAAAGGGGGGCAATTCTGCTTTGTCTTACAGAGCTGCTATCAATCAGAAACAACTCAATGTCAGTGACTTTCATTTCACCTTTTTTTTTAGCATTTGAGAAGTGGTATACCACTTTTTCTGTTCTCCATGATGCATGGTGAAAAACCTAGTCGTTCAAGTTGTAGTCCTCTACATGTAATCTGTATGATATGGGTAACCTGCCCCCACCACCTCTGCTATGTTTCATATTTTGTCTTTTCTTTCAGCAACTTTATTATAATGTGTGAGAGTATTAACTTCTCAGATCTATCCCTTTGGGATGTTCTAATTCTGAAGGTATATATGAAAACCCTCACAACAGGACCAATTGATAATATCATGAAAAATGGAGAAAAGATTGAAGTTGTCAATGATTTCATCTTGCTTGTATTCACATTCAGTATTCATGGAAGCCCCAGCCAGGAAATCAAGTGACACATTGCCTGGGTAAATCTGTTGCACAAAACTTCTATAAAGTGTTGAATAGTAGGGATGTCACTTTGAGGTCTAAGGTGTGCCTGACCCAAGCCATGTTATTTTCAATTGCCTCACATGCATGTAATAGTTGGACATTGAATAATGAGACTGAAGAAGAATCAATGCATTTGAATTATGGTGTTGGGAAAGACTGTGGAAAGTACCAGAGACTGCAAAAACAAAACAAAAAACAAAGAACTCTGAGAATGGCAAGATTTCACTTCATATACTTAAAAAAAATCATTTTGTTGGGGGCTCATACAACTCTTTTTTAAATCATTTTATTAGGGGCTCATACAACTCTTATCACAATCCATACATACATCAATTGTGTAAAGCACATTTGTACATTCATTGCCCTCATCATTCTCAAAACATTTGCTCTCCACTTAAGCCCCTGGCTTAAGGTCCTCATTTTTCCCCTTCCTCCATGCTCCCCTCTCCCTCATGAACCCTTGATAATTTATAAATTATTATTTTTTCATATCTTGCCCTGTCCGACGTCTTACTTCACCTACTTTTCTGTTGTCTGTCCCCCAGGGAGGAGGTCACATGTAGATCCTTGTAATCAGTTTTCCCTTTCCAACCCACTCTCCCTCTACACTCTACTTTGGACATATTACCACGAGAGACCAGTCTCTTGTCTGATAATTTCAATGTCATATTTGGTAAAGGTGAAGGGCATTGGTTGTGGGTCAAAAGACAAGCTACATTAGGTAAATCTACTACATAAGACCTCGTTAGAGTATTGAAAAGCAAGGAAGTTACTTTGAGGACTGAGGTACTCCTAACCCAAGTCATGGTATTTGCCTCATATGCATGTGAAAGTTGGACATTGAATGAAGAAGACCAAAGAAGAATCAGTGCACTTGAATTGCAGTGCTGGAGAAGAATATTGAAACTACCATGGACAGGTAGAAGGACAAACCGATCTATCTTGAAAGAAGTTAGAGTGCTCCTTAGAGGCAAAGAAGGCGAGACTTTGTCTTGCATACTTTGGTCCTGTTGTCAAGAGAGACCAGTCCCTGGAGAAGGACATCTGCTTGGTAAAGTGGAGGGGCCGTGCAAAGGGGAAGACTCATTAAGGAGGTGAATGGACACAGTGGCTGCAACAATAGGCTCAAGCATGGGAACAATTGTGAGGATGGTACAGGACCAAGCAGTGTTTCCTTCTGTTGTGCGTAAGGTCGTTGTGGGTCGAAATGGATTCTATGGTACCTAATAACAACAACAATAAAGGAGAAGGATTGTGAGAGAGAGGAAGACCTTCAAAGAGATGGATTGCCATAGTGGCTGCCACAAAGGGCTCAAAGTAACAATGGTGAGGCTGATGCTGGTGTTTTGTTCTTTTGTACACAGAGTGGTTATGAGCAGGAACTGAATCGACGGCATCTAAGAACAACAAAAACAAAATGCCTTCCAGAAAATTTATGAAGTTCTCAGTCATTATTTCGTCAAATCCTTTTTTTCCTGCAGTATGCTTTCTCCTTTACTTCCGTAAGTGCTATGAAACAAACATTGGATATTTTGATATTGTCTGATATGCCATGCTTATAATTATTTTAATTATTTTTTCTTTTGATCAGTCTTTTTCTCTGTTTCACAGTGTGGACAATTTCTATAGATTTTTGTTTAAGTTGACTGATTCTTTCCTCTCTTATCTCCATTTGCTATTGAACCCTTTCAGAGAAATTTTGTATTTTCCAATTATTCAATTTCTTTCTTTTTTATCATCTGTTTCTCAGCTGGGAGATTCTACCTTTTAATTTGTTTCAAAAATGTCACCTCTTATTTTTTGGAACTAAATTATAAGAATTACATTAATGCCTTTGTCTGATAATTCCAACATCCAAACCCTGTGTCATCTCATGGTTGGCATCTGTTGATTCTATCCTTGACAGTTATTGATATATTATTATTATTATTAATGTGTTGGGTAATTTTGAATTCCATTTTGGACTGCTATGCTATGAGACTGGGTCTTCCTTAGTACCTATGGAGAGTATCATGACTTTGTTTTTTTAATGCAAATTCTGTGAACAGTGGTTCTAATCATAGTTTTGTTTTCAAAGTTTCCTAGTGTTGTGAAAGCATCAGTCATTGATTGACCTACCCCATAGATCACAACCTTTGATACCTACTTAAGGTCACATTCATACATGCAAAATTTAATGAATGAAGTTAGAAATTCATATGTAATTTCAAGGGATCACTTTCATGAACTCTTCCACTCTGATTCCCTTGACATTTTCAGGTCCTCTAGGCTCTCTTTCTGTTCTTCTGGGTAGAATTTTCAGGCTCTATTTCCCCCTTTCTCCTATCCCCACCTCATGACTATGTTTAATTCCAGGCCTGAGAGGTGAAAGGATAGAGAATGTGAATAAGCAATGCAGATTCTCTCTGGGCAGGGAGAAGAGCTCCCCTTCCTCAAAGTCATGATCACTGTGGCAGCTGCTGCTGTATCACTATTGCTTCTGTGTCAATGGGACTTCTTGTCCCTGAGTAGTGCAATCTATTGATGTGCTTGGCTGCTAACCTAAAGCTTGGAGGATCAAATCCACCCAGTAGGACCTCAGAAGTAAGGTCTGGCAAGTCTACTTCCAAAACCCTATGGAATTCTCAGTTCTACTGTGACATCCATAGGGTCTTCATGGGTCAGAGTCAACTGGATGGAAACTAGTGACATGTAACAAGGTTATATTACCAGTCTCCTATAAATTAACTGCCATTATTAAAGGTAAGAAACAGCTCCCATGAACTTAGGCATAAGGAAAGGTTGAAGATATTAAAAATCTAATAAATAAAAAACAATTTTCAATCTGGTACCTGTTTCCAGGGCAACAATTTGCTTCTGAACTGGCCTAGAGAGATTAGACCAGCATTGTATCTCAAAGATCCACTAGCCCACACACGTGTGTTCCCAACCTGATTACACCTGGAAAAATCCCACCCATAGAAAAGTGAATTAACCAAATAGCATGCTCTTCTAAACTCACATTTGTCCTAAGCGAAGAAGAGAGGGGTTGTTCTCAGCGAGGCGTCTGGCTGTGTGCATTTTTAGGTAAGGTAGCATGCCTTTACTTTGTCACATTGGCAGGTAGGTTGCCCTCACAGCCCACATGGGTTTCATTCTCCCTCAGTTGCTGGCAGGAAATTGAGTACTCTAATGTGGCTGGCTCATGGACACGCAGCCTCCTCTCCAGGAGGTAGATCAAGTTGACTTTTAAGAAATATGCTCGCTGTCTCTGACTGCGTTTGTTTTGTTGGCAGGCTCACAGAATGCCAAGGCTCCTGAGGAGTTTCAGTCTGGATGGCTGGCCAGCAGGATTCTGCCTGGAGGCCTGCCTGCCCCCATCTGAGAAGCACATAATCCTTCTTTTGATAACTCTTCTCTGTTTCTCACCTTCTCTGTCCTCTGTCCTGTATCTTCTATGATGCTGTCTCATTTGGGAGTCTGCTGGGCCCTTTGCACCTCCGGTGGACTTGAGGATTAAGAACAAGCAGGAGATGTT